ACATATAAGAATACACAGTGGAGAGCGGCCTTGTGAATGTAAAGAATGAGGGGAAGCCTTTCGTCCTCACGTCTCAGAAAACATAGAAGAGTACACACAGGGGAGAAGCTTCAACAATGTAAGGAAAACGGAAATCATTGTGTTGGCTTGAATCCCTGTATTGGGTATAAAATAAAGTGGGAAACCCTTTGCTTTCTTACTTTAAAGAACACGTGATTCATCATGCCGAGATAAGAATGCAAGGAGTGTCATAAAGTATTCCTCATATCTTGCTAGACATATGAGAGTTTCAGTGGAGAGAGGCCTTATGTCTATGAGAATTTAGAAACTTAAGTTCTCCCTAAGCTTTTTTTTCAAGGATTTTTAGCAGTTTTATTGGCACATAATTTACATATCATACAATTCAATCACATCAAGGAGAATTGTACAATCACTACATCCATTCTAGAGGATTCCCCATGGCCCCATGGTTAAATTGCCTTTAAAGTGAGTTGTGCAATCACAATCTGTTCTAGTGCTCCCTCCCCACTCCCTCCCTAAGTGTTTAAAAGCCATATGAAAAGATTCAGCAGAACAAACGGATACATGTGTCCTGTTGTTGGAAACCCTTCATGCGTGCCTCGTGGTTTTGAAAGCCTGAAAGTACATATGACAGAAGTCAAATGGTGCAGTGTTAACAGCCAGTTTTTACTTTCACCCAGTACTACCCAAGGTTGTGAGGAATTGTGTTCGGCCAGGTTCTCTAGAGAAACAGAACCGGGACACTTGTGATTTTATATATAGATATAGGTTTATACAACGATGAGGAATATAACAGCAGTACAGAGGGCTAGTTCAATTCACTTCTGTGGAACACTGAAAGTCCTTCAACTAACTGGGCAGCAGGGCCCAAGGTCAAGGAAGCAGACAGCAAAGTCCTCCCTCTGGCAAAGCAAGCAGAGTCTGCCCACAGGCAGCAAGCAGCAGGGTGGGTCACCAACAGTCAGTAGCTCAGGAGCTTAGGGAAGCAGGCCCGGATGGGATATCGAAGGTGACAGGATACACCAGCCTCAAGCTCAGGCAATATTGGCACCAGCAAAGAAGCAGGTGTTTCAGGAGCCTCAAGCTCTAGCTATATGATCCATGGGGTTGGCCTGGCCCACAGGTAGTGTAGCTCACAGGTTGAGGCAGAGAACTAGCTAAAGCAGCAGCACGCTGGTCTCATCACCAGAGAGCAGGGTGGGTGGGGCTGCCTTGCAGAGCCCTTTATCTCTGTCCACCAATCAAATGGCTACCTGATTAATCCACATGTTCCTATTGGCCAGGTTGGCAGGATAAACCTACCTATCACAGGGATTGTGCACATGAAACAGTCTTCACTAATTTCCTGCCTCTCCTTGATACATGACCGATGACATTTGAAGTCCTTCATGTATAAGGAACATAGAAACATCTGTGTTCTTTGGGATTATTTTAAAACATACAAGTTATTTCAATTCATTATGAATTGATCCTAATGATTGTAAAAGATGAGGGAAACCTGTTTGTCTTTTTAATACCCCTATGAAACCCCAGAGACAACTGAAAAAGTACTTTTCGGTTGTAGCTCATGACTTCGGATAAGTTAACATCCCTTATTCTTTTTTTTTTTTTTTGGAATCTATCTTGTTTGGGAATCCTCTAAACTGTTGGGGTTGTGAAATATGCTTACTTTTGAATGTTTCCATTAATTTTAAAAATTTACTGTGAATTAGGTAGGCGTTTACAATTCACATCATCTTCTTTGTATTCAACAATTTGAACGAATTATTAAACCTCCCAGTAGCTTGCCTTGTCCACTGCTTCCTTTTTTCATCTTTTTGCTCTTATGAATGTAAAGAATGAGAGGGTAGAATATTAATATTTTAGGACAACAGCATGTGGCTGTAAAATTTTGTTTCCTTCTTAGGAAAAATGCTGCAGAAACTGTTGTAGAATATTAATATTCTTTAAATTTGTTTTACTTTAAATAAAATTATAAGGAAAACATCATTCCACCATGGTTATTATTCCAAGTCTTTTTTTTTTTAACTGTCTGTGGTTACTTTTTTAAAAATTTGGTAATGTATTATTTGTCCTTCACAACTGTGAATGACCCCTGCTTTACTTCACTGTCCCTTGTAATGTTGGTGTGAGAAGTTGGTTTTCCATGGGAGGATGACTCAAATCAGGGGTCTACACATCTCCACAGTCAGTTTCAGCAAGCATAGCTTTAAATCCTGCATTTTAACATAACATTCTGCTTTTGATAGTTCCTCGGTTGAGGAGAGTTGGGTCAGGACCTGATTCCACATTAGTCCAGTTGGTCAGAACCAGTGGCTCTCTGCCTGTTTGCATGCTTGCTCTAAAGCCTGACAGTTTCTGACGTCCTGTAACTTCACAAGGGGGAGAGCAAATAAGCAACACCCCAAGGCTGATGTTTTATGATGCAGGTCAGGAATGCCTTCTCCAGCTTTTTAAAACCAGTTCGACACGCACTGCCTTCCGCGGCACTTGCCCCTACTATGCTGAAGCCACGAATGTACTGTATTGCACATCCGTGCAGACCATATTCACAGGGACTCGAATTGTGTCCCTTTTAAATGTTGAGTTTGGGGAGCAAAGGGAAGCCTGTGCGGGAACTTCGGTCAGAGCTGTGTGATGGCTGAGGCAGATTTTCCCCATGAAATTCTCATGGGGAGCCTCTGTAGGAGAACGACCAGGGGAAACGTGTTCCGTCATTAAGTCTGTTATATATAAGTCTATTATATATTTACAATCCACTCAAATTCCTCAACTGATGTACACAAACGAAAATGCAAATCAGCTTCCTTGGCTGGGGAGGGGGTGTGTGGTCCCTCTGACAACTTCATCCAGCGTTTTTCTTTTTTAATGTCACCCGACTCAGCAAGATGAGGTGTTAGACATGTGGGGTACGCATATGAAAACACAGCCTCTTCTTTCATAAAAGCTCAGCCCCCTCAGTCACCCTGGAGGATGGGGTGGAAATGTCCATGTTGGTTTCTGAGGCTGTAATTCTCCATGGGAGCAGAAAGTCTCATCTTTCTCCCATGGGGCAGCTGTTGGTTTTGAACTGCTGACCTTGTGGTCAGCCCTCCAATGGGTAACTAATTGCCATCGAGTATTTGCTGACTTATAGAGACCCTATAGGGCAGAGCAGAAGTGCCCCTGTGGGTTTCTGATACTGTAACTCTTTACGGGGGTAGAAACACCCTCATCTGGCGCCCACCTAGCGGCTGCTGGGTTTGAACAGCTGGCCTTGTGGTTATAGCAGCACAACGCGTAGCCACAACGCTACAATACAGGACAGCTGAAACAACAGTGGGGGGGCATTTCGTGCCTATGGCCACTAGGGGGCGCTCTGCGCCCGCACATGTCTCCTCCCCTGGCCCCTGCGCGCATCTCAAGGAGCGGAAGTGCGCGGCCCTGGCGGGGCTCTCCTGGCGCGGGTCCGGCCGGATCCACTTCCGGGAGAGCCGCGGCGCCCGAGGGTCCGGCCGAGGTTGGAGGGTGCTGCTGCGGCGCTTCTGCCCGGGC